GATTTAATTATATTAAAAACAAATTTACTAAAGCTTTTATACAGTGCGCCGCTGTAAGGACATGTCTGTCAGTGATAAGGACACTCCTAAAGTTTATCATTTTACATGTAATACCATTAAATATATTAAAAATAAAGTTCTAACTCTTTTATACAGTGTGTCACTGTAAGGACATGTCTATCAGTGATAAGAACACCCCTAAAGTTTATCATTTCACATGTAATACCATTTATATATATTTTTTAATATAACATACTAACTCTTTTATACAGTGCGCCGCAGTAAGGACATGTCTGTCAGTGATAAGGACACCCCCACAATACTGATCAGCATCAGGACGCAACAATGCCGCCATCCATGGCCATTCTCTTGGATCAGCTGGTCTTCCATTTACAATTCGCGTTTTAGATTTGCTGCTCACTCCACATCCTCTTGGTCTACGAGGTTTCCTATTCAAAGAGTTTTCCGCAACTTCTTTATCACCTGATGTGCCATTTTTTGTACTTATCGTGTTATCAGGTGAAGTCGCGTTCGACATGTCCACGACTTCCCAGACGGGTTTATCATCGATATCAACACCTGTAATCACGTTGGATTGTTGATTCGAATGTGTATTTTGAAATTAGGTACATATCGCTCATATTATTAGAAACAATGTTTGAACAACCACTTACTCACGATCTAATAAAATAATAAAAATTGGAAATTAAATGTAAAGAAAGAAAAAATTAGAAACACATTGGATTGTTTATTCGAATGTGTATTTTGAAATTAGGCACATTTGGCTGATATTATTAGAAACAATATCTAAACAACCACTTACTCACCATCTAACAAAATAATAAAAATTCGAAACTAAATGTAAACAAAGAAAAAATTAGAAACTCACATTGGATTGTTTATTCGAGTGTGTATTTTGAAATTAGGTACATTAGGCTGATATTATTAGAAACAATATCTGAATAACCACTAACTCGCAAGTTAACAAAATAATAAAAATTGGAAACTAAATGTAAACAAGGAAAAAATTAGAAACTCAATTTAGAGACAACATTTCATTTGGCGAGCACTAGAATGTTGTTATCAAATTGAGATTCTAACTTTTCCATTATTTGTTTACATTTAGTTTTTAATTTTTGTTATTTGGTTTAAATGAAATAGAAAATTGTGTTAATTTTTACAGGCATGCGATTTTGAGGGTAAACATTAGTTTTGGAATACATGTACTTGCATTGTGCAGAGCAAAATATACTATAACAATTGGCAAAATATAGTATAACAATTGGCAAAACGTACTATAACAATTGGCAAAATATACTACAACAATTGGCAAGACTACTATAACAATTGGCATAACATGCTAAAACAATTGGAAAAAATATACTATAACAATTGGCAAAATATCTGACTTATTGTTAGACTTTTAAAGCAATGAATCGTATTTGGCAAAAATAATTGATTTCCATTGTTTGTACAGAAAAAAATGATTTGAACATTTTTTTAATTGTAAAAGGAAACGATAATGTACCTGGCGACTTTTTTTACACCCTAAGCGTTTTTTAGGAGAAAAGTACTTACCCGCAATTGCAGGTAAATAGCCGGCTAGACTTTCAGCTGGTAATGAACTTGAATGAACAGTTTCTGCATTATCGGGACAGCATGTACCTACGTATCTGTTCATTGAGAAATAATGGCTATAAATTATTAACTAATATACCAGAATAAACGCAAAACAGTAGAATGCATTTTTAATGCACGTAAATGTAATGTAAATGTGAACTATTTTTTTTTTCTATATTATACATGTTTATCTATCTTATATACGTTTGTATACATTTGTATACGTTTATATACGTTTGTAAGAAATGTTACTTTTGCCAGTCAGGTTTTTCAATGCAATGGATTAATAATCCAGAAGGAACATGTACTTTAACTAATGCTTTTACGTTAATTAAACGTTCAATGAACGTTCTTTGTACATTCGGACTGTAACGTTTGGAAAATATTTTGCAAATTTAGTTCGTTTCAAGTATCTTATAAATGTGCTCGATACGAACTCATTTATGAACTTCTGTCTTTAATTGTTTAAACAACGTCCATATTACACAATAATTACGTTTCATGAACGTAAAATAAACGTAAAGTAAACGTTGAATTTGTTGACGAATTTGTAAATCTAGTTTATTCTACGATTTGATAAACGTGCTGAATATGAACGCATTTATGAAAGTCTATTTTTAAATGTTTAAACGACGTTCATGTTACGTACTAATTACGTTCATTGAACGTAGAATAAACGTAATGTCAACATTGAATTTCTAAATTTAGTTTATTCCACGTATTTCATAAACATACTGAATACAAACTCATTTATGAACGTGTAACATTAAATGTTTAAACGACGTTCAATGAACGTAGAATAAACGTAATGTCAACATTGAATTTGGAAATTTAGTTTATTCCACGTATTTCATAAACATGTTGAATACGAGCTCATTTATGAACGTCCAACATTAAATGTTTAAATAACGTTCATGTTACGTTTATTTTACGTTCAATGAACGTAGAATAAACGTAATTTCAGCGTTGAATTCGTTGACATGTTCATTTCTAAACATATTCTGCAGTTTCGTGTTTATTAAACATTAAAACCACGAATGAAAATACTTCAACCTGATTTTTAGTAATTATTTTAATTGCAAATCTTACGTGCGTTCAATTATGCACATGTAGTCCATGAATTTAGCGAAATTCGTCCTAAACTCCTCCAAAACGCATTGACTTAAATGTCGACAATGGCCATTTTTATTTCCAGGTGCAATGCAAGGTTGATAAGCTTTATTCGGCTGTGAACAGAATGATAAAAAAATGTTTATAATAAAAAAGTTTCATTTGAGGAAGATATAACTTACTTATTACTCCTTTGTTAATATTTACTTGTATTTCATTATTTATTAACGAATCACATATCAATAAGGAATCATGTTCGGATAGTTTCCTTATTTTGTGATTTATTAATAAATAATTTTACATGTTGATCTCGCAGTTTTAATTAACTATTAAGAGGAACTGTAACTTATTAACGTAATTCATGAAATATGACTAGACAATCAGTTTCCATTGTGTAGTTAATTTTTAAACCTACGACATCGTTCTACTTTTTTAATTGTTATATTGTTTACGTTACATTAACCATTATTTATTTATTACCTTCTGCTCCGAAGTGCCCAGATCGATGAATCTCCTCTCTCTCGAATTTGGAACCGAGAAATTTCCAAAAAACTGGAAATTTTCCAATCCTTGCAATCGAGATCCCCATTCCAAACTTTCGAGTCCTTTGGGATCTGTTTAACAAATAAATAAACAAGAAATTATTAACACAAAAGGAAAGAAATCGGGGCGATATCAGAGCAAAGGTTCAAAAGATACACTTATCAGTCGGCAATTTCTTGCAAAATATTTCTAAAAAATTATTAACTTTGAAATATAATAACAAGCTCTATTTCATGTAAAAAGAGATAATAATGAAATTGTTAAAAAATAAATTCTGGAAATTGAACTAGAAACGATATTAGAGCCAGGGACCAGAAGATACACTTATCAGTCGGCAATTTCTTGCAAAAAATTTGCAAATAGTTATTAAAAATTTGAAATTAACAATTATGTCAAAAGAGATAATAATGAAATTGTTAAAAAATGAATTCTGGAGATTGAACTAGGAGTGTTATCAGGGCCAGGGACCAGAAGATATACTTACCAGTCGCCAATTTCTTGCAAGAAATTCGTAAAAAGTTATTAACTTTGAAATATAATAACAAGCTCTATTTCATGTAAAAAGAGATAATAATGAAATTGTTAAAAAATAAATTCTGGAAATTGAACTAGGAACGATATCAGAGTAAAGGACCAGAAGATACCCTTATCAGTCAGCAATTTCTTGCAAAATATTTCTAAAAAATTATTAAATTTGAAATATAACAACGAGGTCTATTTTAGGTCAAAAGAGATAATAATGAAATTGTTAAAAAATGAATTCTGGAGATTGAACTGGAAGCGATATCAGAGTAAAGGACCAGAAGACACCCTTATCAGTCAGCAATTTCTTGCAAAATATTTCTAAAAAATTATTAAATTTGAAATATAACAACGAGGTCTATTTCACGTCAAAGGAGATAATAAAGAGAATGATAAAAAATGAGTTCTGGAGGATGAACTAGGAGCGATATCAGAGTAAAGGACCAGAAGATACCCTTATCAGTCGGCCATTTCCTCCACGAGGACGATAAGTCCCGAAAAAGCGGGATAATTTATTAAGGTCAAAATCATAGAAAGTTGCAAATGAGAATGGTGGGAAACGAGACTCCAGAAATAACGATTTTGATGAAATTAGCATAATGTATGTGGGACTTTCTCCAGATAACAGCTGAATCGATTGCTTTACTTACATTGGCGTACCTTGCGATATTCTACATTTAAATGATAAAATATCAAAGCTCAATGTTAAAAGTGATATTAAAAATCCTATACATTTGTATATAAATTTTAAATGATGTTATAAACATTAATTCTTCAGTCTGAATGATTGTACATTTATCATTAATTTTTTAATAAACTTATAATTGTATAACATAACTTTATATTTACATTTTGTATACATAAATGTTGTTAAATTATATAGAAAATTAGCGCACATGTGTATTAAATCTACGTTATCAATTTTATTTGAAGTTATCATAAAATTAGTATACTATGCTTATGTAAAACTGTCAAGAAAAATAGTATTTAATTGTAATATAAATTTTGTTTAAACATATTATACAAATAGTATATCATGTCCGAATAAAAAATTCAAGAGAAATAGTATTTAATTGTAATGTTCATAAAATTTTCAAGTTGTAATGAACTAACTTGCATAATTTTAATTCAATTGCAGAGATAAACTGATAATATCCATAAGTGTTTTTTATTTGCGTTTTCGTGGGATTTATTGTCATAAAATATTATAACAATTTTAATATACGTTCCATGACAATAAATATTAAAAGGATATTTTAGTCGTAATCTTGTTAAACATATTATTATATAGTGCGTTTAATCCAGTTAATTATGTGCATTGATTACAGGCTTTCATGGACTTTCTAATCACGCCTTTCAAAGTACGTCATTAAGCTCAAACTTTAATTAGTTCCCTTAACTTGATGAATAAACTTTCCAAACCGAGTATTACATACAGGTGTATGTAATTGCTTGTATGCATTGCCGCATTAATTATTAATAATTTTTTTCTCCCTGTATAAAACAGCAACAACGCATTTTACTATTCATTATCTTATTTATTTACAAATAAAAGTTGTAAGACTTATGAATAGTTAGAATAAATCCACCAAATTTTGCAAAAATGGATTAATTACGTCTAAGTAACAAATGATTATTATTTCGAGTATTATTAATCAGAAATATAAGATATATTTATTAATAGAATCTATTAACTGCAGTAATTAAATTCATAAATATTATTAATTTCTTGCAATTCATTTGTAAGTATTGTTAGCGACAAATAAAAGACATGTTTATTAACATAATATTTCGGCTGGTATAATTAAATCTATAAATATTGTTCATCTCTGCGATTAATTTATAAGTATTGTTAGCGACAAATAAAAGACATGTTCATTAACAAATTATTTCAGCTGTTATAATTGAATCTATAAACATTGTTCATTTCTTGCAATTAATTTGTAAGTACTGCACTAAGCAACAAATTCTATCGAGCTAAAGAAATATTTTGTTAATACAAAGAACAATAATTTCACTCAAATAAACTTGAATAAATTTGAAACGTTTACAACGTTTTGTTTTCGAAATTATAACAAATTAATTGAGTTCATTTGAGTTAAATAATTGTTAACAAACTATTTCTTTGATTTATTGAATTTCTTTTGCCCAGCGTTAACAAGAGATATAAAAGATATTAATATCATAATAGCTGTAACAATTAAATTCACGAACATCGTTAATTATTAATACTGCAATATAATATATAGTGTGGATAAAATAACAAATTACTCACTTATCGCATCTCTGGGACTCACGGGTGAGCATTGACAGAATTGCACAATAAACAATGTCAAAAGACACGTGCCGCAAGTTTTAATAAGCCTTATCATACTGATTGGTTCAGAAATAGGGCGATGAATCCCTGACAATAAATATTAATGATAAATGTACTTCTATCTTCTTCGAAAGAGCGCACCTACTTGTGGACCATAAAACAATACCGCCGAAATAAGATCGCCCTTGCTTATATAGTACTAACAGAACGCCGTAAAGTACTCTTCCCGCCATTCTGGCATGCCTGTCGGGTTGCATGGTCCCAGGGGCCATCCTCTCGGAAATCAGTGAAAACGATTTCCTTCTTTGAGAACTGATTGCTTTTGATTTCAAACGATGAACAATGCGATTTGATAGGAAGTTACGGCTTTAAGATTGCGACAGTATTTTTCAAAATATTTCTTTCGTTACAATAAATTTTTCTTAGTGTAGAAACTGCGTAGAAGGAAGTAACTTGCCTCTTGCTTAGCCTTACTTAACCTAGAATTTTCCCCTGTAATGCCGAGAGCTTCCGGACAACCTCGACGGCGAAACAAAGCCGAAAACCCCTCGTAACAATTTCTTTTCCAGGGGGTCAATTTCCCTTGACAGGAATCCTTAAGATCCGGTACATTTGCTGGACTTCCGGTAAAGCCGGATCGCATCGGTTATGCAGGGCGCGTTCCTGCGTCCCTCGACGTGGCATTCAGCGGGTTCACGTATCCGCGTAATCTGCACATCTACGTTCCCCACGCTTCCTGGGGAGCGAAAGGTCCTGGGGCTGGAATTGGGTTCCCATGAATAAAAGGATGAGACCGTCGTGTCCTGGATGTGTGTCCTGAAGCGTCACCCACGTGCCCAACTCCCAAAATGCATCCTGGAAGCCGCAGGCGTCAGTCGGGAGTTTATTGTAATTAGGAAATTAGCAAATTCGAGAGTAATTAGCAAAATCGTTGATGCAGACTTTAGCTGCAATCCAATTAGAAGTATGACGATCGAGGGTTGTCGAGGAACGTGCAAATTGGTAGCGAGATGTGATGACCACACAAGGTGCAGGCGTCATCCATATCCTAACACTCAAAATCCCCGTTGAAGACGTCGATGTCATCCGTGTTCCCATCAGAACTTTCAAAATCCTTGCTTATGAATGTAGGCATCACCATGTTGCCACCATAATTCTTCAAATCCCCTTGTTGACTGCACGCGTCATCCATATTCTCGTCCTAATACACAAACTCCCTGTGGAAAACGTTGGTGTCGCCCATGTATCCATCATAACTTTCGAAATCCCCGTTGATGACGGTAATGTCATCCATATTCTCATCCCAATTTCCAAAATCCTCGTTGCTGACCACATGCATCATTCACATTTCCATCCTAACCTCCAAAACCCTAATTGACGACGTCAATATCATCCATATTCCCAAATCCTCGCTGCTGACCACATGTATTATCCATATTCCTATCCTAATCCTCAAAATCCTCCTATCTTAATCTCCAAAATCCTCACTGCCGACCGTGTGCATCATCCATATTCCCAAATCTTCGCTGCTGACCACATGTATCATCCACATTCCCATCCTAATCCCCAAAATCCTCGCTTCCGACCACATGCATCATCCATATTCCCAAATCTTCGCTGCTGACCACATTTATCATCCATATATCCATCCTAATCCCCAAAATCCTACCATCCTAATCTCCAAAATCCTCACTGCCGACTACATGCATCATCCATATTCCCAAATCTTCGCTGCTGACCACATGTATCATCCATATTCCCATCCTAATCCCCAAAATCCTCACTACTGACCATATGCATCACCCATATTCCCAAATCCTTGCTGCTGACCACACGTATCATCCATATTTCCATCCTAATCCCCAAAATCCTCCAATCCTAATCTCCAAAATCCTCGCTGCCGACCGTGTGCATCATCCATATTCCCAAATCCTCGCTGCTGACCACATGCATCACCCGCATTCCCATCTTGATCCCCAAAATCCTCGCTGCCGACCACATGCATCATCCATATTTCCAAATCTTCGCTACTGACCACATGTATCATCCATATATCCATCCTAATCCTCAAAATCCTCACTACCGACCACATGCATCATCCATATTCCCAAATCCTCACTGCTGACCAAATGCATTACCCACATTCCCATCCTAATCTCCAAAATCCTCACTACCGACCACATGCTTCATCCATATTCCCAAATCCTCGCTGCCGACCACATGCATCATCCATATTTCCAAATCTTCGCTACTGACCACATTTATCATCCATATATCCATCCTAATCCCCAAAATCCTACCATCCTAATCTCCAAAATCCTCACTGCCGACTACATGCATCATCCATATTCCCATCCTAATCCCCAAAATCCTCACTACTGACCATATGCATCACCCATATTCCCAAATCCTTGCTGCTGACCACACGTATCATCCATATTTCCATCCTAATCCCCAAAATCCTCCAATCCTAATCTCCAAAATCCTCATTGCCGACCGTGTGCATCATCCATATTCCTAAATCCTCGCTGCTGACCACATGCATCACTCAGATTCCCATCCTAATCCCCAAAATCCTCGCTTCCGACCACATGCATCATCCATATTCCCAAATCTTCGCTACTGACCACATGTATCATCCATATATCCATCCTAATCCCCAAAATCCTCCCATCCCAATCCCCAAAATCCTCGCTACCGACCACATGCATCCGCTATATTCCCAAATCCTCGCTGCTGACCACATGCTTCATCCATATTCCAAAATCCTCACTACCGACCACATGCACCATCCATATTCCCAAATCCTCGCTGCTGACCAAATGCATCATCCATATTCCAAAATCCTCACGACCGACCACATGTATCATCCATATTCCCAAATCTTCGCTGCTGACCACATGTATCATCCATATTCCCATCCTAATCCCCAAAGCTGACCAAATGCATCATCCATATTCCAAAATCCTCACGACCGACCACATGTATCATCCATATTCCCAAATCCTCGCTGCTGACCAAATGCATCACCCACATTCCCACCCTAATCCCCAAAATCCTCTCTACCGACCACATGCACCATCCAAACTGCCCACTACACAACCTTCTCGCTTCGTACTCTCTCCAGTCCCTCGTCGTTGACCAAGTACGTCCTCGAGGAAGAGCACGTATGCATCCGATGACCAGGTTAGGCCGGCAATCCTGAAGATCGACCACGAGATCGAGGACCGCTATGGAGCGAGAGAGACCCCTAAGTGAACGGGTACACCGATGAACATGAACGCCTTCGCTGATGATCCGGGGCCCTCCAGCACTGCTTTGGATGTCGTTCATGTCCTCCAATGTACGTGCATGCCCGGCGGGAGGAAGATGGAGATGGAGATGGCTGGAGAGATCGAAGAGGCTGCGAATGACCGCAGAAAAACAAAGATGGCGATCGGTGGAGGCTCCAGGCCATTGCCATTTAAGGCACCCCGACGCTTCTTCCCGGGTGACTTCGACGCGTCGGCAGAGGAGACGCTCTTCATACTTTATGGACTGAGAAATTTTTGCAAGAAGTACCTCGATAATCGACACTTTAGGTTCCGTTTGTGCCAAAAAACGGGAATTCTCGGTTATCGTTGGGCACGTGGTGGACGGATGTATATGTGACACTTTCATATCACCTTAACGTGGAAATCTTAGATAGGGTCCTGGATTTCCATTTCAGTTTTCCACGGAAGGTCGATGAGTTCATGAAACGTTTACCTTCTACAAATGGTTAATGAACAATTGTATTTCTTTAGTATATATATGACATTTTCATATCACCTTAACGTGGAAATCCTAGCTAGGGTCCTGGATTTCCATTTCAGTTTTCCACGGAAGGTCGATGAGTTTATGAAACATTTACCTTCTACAAATGGGTAATGAACAATTGTATTTCTTTAGTATATATATATATATGAAACTTTCATATCACCTAATACTGGAAATCCTAGCTAGGGTCCTGGATTTCCATTTCAGTTTTCCACGGAAGGTCGATGAGTTTATGAAACGTTTATCATCGGCAAATAGTTAATAAACAATTGTATTTCATTGATATATATATGACACTTTCATATCACCTTATCGTGGAAATCCTAGCTAGGGTCCTGGATTTCCATTTCAGTTTTCCACGGAAGGTCGATGAGTTTATGAAACGTTTACCTTCTACAAATGGGTAATGAACAATTGTATTTCTTTAGTATATATATAACTANTGAAACTTTCATATCACCTTATCGTGGAAATCCTAGCCTATGAAACGTTTACCTTCTACAAATGGTTAATGAACAATTGTATTTCCTTGGTATATATATGACACTTTCATATCACCTTATCGTGGAAATCCTTGCTAGTATCTATAAGCTATCCAGGATTTGTTATACACAATTCGAATAAACATGAATTACAGCAATGCACCAAAAAAGTTAAAAGGAGACATTTTGCAAACAAGAATGCAAAAAATAGAAATTCAAGCGGGTATGAGATTTGAATGAAGGAATTATTAATAAATCTTGGAATTATTATCGAATAAATATGAAATAACAAAAATGTCAGCGGATATGAAATTTGAATAAAATAATTATTAATAAATCATGCCATTATTAATAATTCATGCTATTATTAATCAATCATGCAATTATTAATAAATCATGCAATTACTAATAAATCTTGGAATTATTATCCAATAAGCACGAAGTTGAACAATGCCTGATTGCCTTAAATTTGATGAATATCTGAAATTCGGAATTTCCGAATTTGGCACCAAAGGGTTAAAGAATTTTTAGAGGAAGAGAGAGGAGCTAAAATCTCGAAACTATCAACTAGGATGAAAGATAAGTGCCGGCTAGCTCGTAACTATTTTATTACAATGAGCTTCCGCGGTTTCTACGGCCGCAGACCGCAGCATACACGAACACACGATATGAGTTGGTCATAGAAAAATCCCGGAACAAATAGTGCAATTTGTTAGAGTCATCGAACTGTATGCCTGCGGCTGCAGCAAATAGTGCAACCAGCTATTGGATTATCACGTAAGTTACTTCCGTCCTTTACTTCCAGCTAAGCGTCACAGATGGCGCCGCTGGTCCTAAAGAGTCGTAAGAATAATGATATCCCGAAATTTCGACAGTTTTATGTCGATCTCTTCGTCATTACTTTCCCGAAATGACACAAGGAAAGCTTCAATTCGTATAGTTATCAACGTGGATTGTAAAAGACTTCAACATAAATATAAATGTCAGTAACGCGACACCCAAGGCGACGATAATGATAATATTGCCACTTTGCATAGGAAATGCTGGATACATTGCCACATTGTATCATAAATACTGGGTAAATGGCCACTTTGCATAGGAAATTCTGGACAAATTGCCACATTGCATAACAAATATTCGATAGGTTGCAATATTGCATCAAAAATACTGAATAAAGTGCAGCATTACGTCGGACATACTGGATAAATTGCCACTTTGCATCAAATATACTGGACAAATTGCCACATTGCATAAAAAATACTGAATAAATTGCCGCATTGCATCGGAAATGCTGAATAAATTGCCACGTTGCACTAAAAATACTGGAAAAATTGCCACATTGCATTAAAAATACTGAATAAATTGCGACATTGCATCCAAAATACTGATTAAATTGCCACACTGCGTCGGAAACAGTGGATAAATTGCCACATTGCGTCGGAAATACTGGATAAATTGCCACGTTGCACTAAAAATACTGAATAAATTGCTACATTGCATTAAAAATACTGAATAAATTGCCACATTGCATAAAAAATACTGAATAAATTGCCACATAGCATCCAAAATACTGAATAAATTGCCACATTGCGTCGGAAACAATGGATAAATTGCCACATTGCGTCGAAAATACTGAATAAATTGCCACATTGCATCAAAAATACTGCATAAATTGCCACATTGCATCCAAAATACTGGATAAATTTCCACATTGCGTCGGAAACAGTGGATAAATTGCCACATTGCTTCAAAAATACTGAATAAATTGCGACATTGCATCGTAAATACTCGAAAATGATCGTTCAACCCGTCTTTCAGCTCCTGTACCCGAACTCAGATTTATTAAAAAATTCTACAAAATGATTCCAGATGATATATCTCGATCTGTTTCAGTGGACCGTGGGAATAGAGGATCTCGCAACAATGTCCGCCGGAAATTGGCCAACTTTGGCCATTTATACGGCTTTTACAGGCTCCGGCCGGGCGTCGGGCTTCTTCAAGTCCAGAGTGTACTTGTGTTCGTTAACTAAATCGCCGGCTGCATTGTAACTCTTGTCAGTGTGATGCAAAGTGTCGCCAATGATTTTGTCCTCGCTGTCCCGAAAGTATGGCTGCCCGTCTTTCGTGTGGCCGGAAATGACGGTTCTTACAGCTGATTGGCCACTGTTCACCACAATCGACTGTCCCCCGGGATTGACCACGGTGTATTGATTGCTGCTCCCTGCTGAGGAAGAAATTTCCATGTTACTTAATAGTCTTGAATACTATAGTGTATTATACAGTAATATAGTTTGAATGTACTGTTAAAAATATTCATGAAATTTACACATTTTTATTATTGATTACTGCTCCCTGCTGAGGAAGAAATTTCCATGTTACTTAATCGTCTTGAATACTATAGTCTATTATACAGTAATATAGTTTGAATGTACTGTTAAAAATATTAATGAAATTTACACATTTCTATTATTGATTGCTGCTCCCTGCTGAGGAAGAAATTTCCATGTTACTTAATCGTCTTGAATACTATAGTGTATTATACAGTAATATAGTTTGAATGTACTGTTAAAAATATTAATGAAATTTACACATTTCTATTATTGATTGCTGCTCCCTGCTGAGGAAGAAATTTCCATGTTACTTAATCGTCTTGAATACTATAGTGTATTATACAGTAATATAGTTTGAATGTACTGTTNATAAGGACCTTCGTACAAATGAAAAAATTTCGAAGTTACTTTATCATCTTAAATACAATAGTCTATTATACAGTAACATAGTTTGGATGAACTGTTAAAAATATTAATGAAATTAACACACTTTTATTATTAATCACTCCCCCCGCTGAGCAAAAAATTTCGACGTTACTTAATCACCATGAATACTATAGTCTATTATACAGTGATATAGTTTGGATGCACTGTTAAAAAATATTCATGAAATGAGTACACGTTTATTATTCCTATTTAATAACTTTCATCCCGCCTTAAAAGGAGGATTTTCTCCTCCAGATAAGTTTCGATCCGGAAATCTTGTTAACCCACGTTAAGGGGAATTGAATCGAAGTGGTTTCTTCCAATTAAATCAAGCAATTCCCACCAGGGGCGCCTTTGGAGGCATTAAGAGCGCTCTTCGGTCATTTCAGAAGAGATTGATCGAAACGACTCGTCTGGTATCGATGCAGGTGCAGCTGCAGAAACGAGGCCGAGCCAATCGATGAAAGAGCGAGGTTCGCTTCTCGTGGACGTTTCTGGTCCAAGAGCCGTGTCAGAGTCTGCCTCGATGGCCACGTGATGAATCTATCGATAATTGATTCGTCGACCATGCAGGCGAGGAGTAAACTGGCGTATCGTACATGTCGGGAGTCCAACTCCAAACGATGGACCGTGAATGGAAAGAGTAGCACCATGGTTGCATGTGAAGAGTAGCACCATGGATATAGGACCCACAAAACTGCGTTTTGCGATGCAAAAGCAAAGAATAGAGGCTATCCAATGTCTATTTCATGCTGATAGATGGGATATCGTTATGATGCCCCGCACAATTATTCCACAGAAACACATCGACGTATAGTTGTCGATAATTGATGGACCTTGAATGGGGAAAGTAGCACCATGGTTGCATGTGAAGAGTAGCATGGATGTAGGACCCACAAAACTGCGTTTTGTGATGCAAAAGCAGAAAACAGAGATCATCCAATGTCTATTTCTTGCTGAAGATGTTGGTCTAGTGCTGATGAGGACGTTAACACTTAACGCGATAAGGAGACTATTATCTCACAAACCATTCTCCGCAGTCCGGACGGCGTCCTGCGTCAGCTGATCGACCCTGGCCAGCTGAGTCCTCAGGTTCGCCTGGATCTGCTCGTTCATCCGCTGGATGTTCCCCTGAAGATCCTGATTAAGTCGTTCGATGCTGGAGAAGAGACCTCTCATCCAGTCGTTGCTGAACATCACTTGACCCTGGCACACTCTGCAACCATTCCAAACCACATTGCAGCAATTTACATGGCTCGCTTTGATCCCAGCTCCAACTATTCCCACATGAGTGGAGTATTTAAGGTTCATGTGTATATATTGACGTTTTGGTATGTATGATTGGTACATATGTATGTGTGGTGTATACATGCCAAAAAGTCAAAATATTTGTTTTACTTTTCTCCAAACTGGATGCACCGAATTATCTGAAACTTTAACACGTTATTATGGAGGCCCTAAGGAAGAACGCGATGATCGTGAAATTTCATTTTTCGACAAAATTTTGTACTTACCTAGGACAAGAACCAAAAAACATATGTTTCTTCGATAAATGAAATTTCACGAATATCGCGTTCTTCCTTAGGGCCTCCACAATCGCGTGTGAAATTGTCACATAATTCAGTGCACCCAATTTGGAGAAGTTTCATACATATTTTGACGTTTCTGTATACATGTTACCTTTCATATCACCTTAAGGTGTACAACATTTTTCTTTGAAAAATGAAATATCGCGTGCTTCCTTAGACTCTCCATAATAACATGTTAAATTGTCAAATAATTCGGTGCACCCAATTTTGAGAAGTTTTATATATATTTTGACGTTTCTGTATACATGTTCCCTTTCATATCACCTTAAGGTATACAACATTTTTTTTTTTAATGAAATTTCGCGTTCTTAGACCCTGAATAATCACGTGCAAAATTGTCAAATAATTCGGTGCCCCCAATTTGGAGAAATTTCATACATATTTTGACGTTTCTGTATACATGTTCCCTTTCATATCACCTTAAGGTGTACAACATTTTTTTTTAATGAAATATCGCCTTCTTAGAGCCTCCATAATCACGTGTAAAATTGTCAAATAATTCGGTACACCCAATTTGGACAAGTTTCATACACATTTTGACGTTCCTGTATACATGTTCCCTTTCATATCACCTTAAGGTATACAACATTTTTCTTTTTAATGAAATATCGCGTTCTTAGACCCTCCATAATCACGTGTAAAATTGTTAAATAATTCGGTACACCCAATTTGAACAAGTTTCATACACATTTTAACGTTCCTGTATACATGTTCCCTTTCATATCACCTTAAAGTGTACACCATTTTTTTCTTTTATGAAATATCGCGTTCTTAGAGCCTCCATAATCACGTGTAAAATTGTTAAATAATTCGGTACACCCAATTTGAACAAGTTTCATACACATTTTGACGTTCCTGTATACATGTTCCCTTTCATAACCCCATAAGGTGTACAACATTTTTTTTTTTTAATGAAATTTCGCGTTGTTAGACCCTGAATAATCACGTGCAAAATTGTCAAATAATTCGGTGCCCCCAATTTGAAGAAGTTTCATACACATTTTGACGTTCCTGTATACATGTTCCCTTTCATATCACCTTAAGGTATACAACATTTTTTTTTTTAATGAAGTTTCGCGTTGTTAGACCCTGAATAATCACGTGCAAAATTGTCAAATAATTCGGTGCCCCCAATTTGAAGAAGTTTCATACACATTTTGACGTTCCTGTATACATGTTCCCTTTCATAACCCCTTAATGTTTCCAGTAAACCCGAGCTGACACATTTATACGTTCACTGGCAAGGTTTCGCCGAAGCAAACGGAAGTGAAATCTGAACGGGGAACTCTTACGCAAGGAGCCCGATCAGCAGGACACTCGCCCCAGGTCTCATGTCGAAGACGTCGTCGTCGTCGTCGTCGTCGTCGACGTATGTCGCATCAGAGGCGCGTTAAACGACTGCAATTCCTCGGAGCGAAGTCGAGGAAGAAAACTGGAGTCTCTATCTTTCTTCTTCTTATCTCTGTCGGATTTGCTCGTTAGCTCCGAGAGCCTTTACTACCATTCCGTAGGAGGTTTTTTATTCCTCTCTCCGGATATTTTCCCACCTCTGGTCCTCCTTCCATCTCCATCTCGCCCCTCCGTGCATTTCTTATCGCCATCTCTTTTCTTCCCTATCTTCCGACGGCTATATCTCTCCTTATCGCACTTTGCGTCACTCTTTCCCTCTCCGTTCTCCTTTCTCTATGCATCACCAGCGCTCTGTCTCTTTCTCTCTTCCTGGGCTTCCTATACGTCTGTCTCTTTCTTTCTATCTCTATGCAGTGCGCCGCCCAGGCAACCCATGAAGTGGAATATACGTAAATTAATTTTCTATGTTAGGTATATAGGTACAGTAAATGTATATCGTCTATGATTCACCTTGAAAAATATCTAAAGGATGTATATGAATATCTATAGTATAACATATTGCTAACATAGACCCAGGCAAACCATGAAGTGAAATATACGTAGATTAAATGTGTAAATTAGGTCTATAGGTATAGCAAACGTATATCGTATATCATCCACCTAGAAAAATATCTAATTTATATATATGAATATTTATAATATAACATATTGCTAATATGAACCCAGGCAACCCATGAAGTGGAATATACGCAAATTAATTTTCTATGTTAGGTATATAGGTACAGCAAATGTATATCGTCTATGATTCACCTAGAACAATATCTAAAGAATATATTTGAATATTTGTAATATAACATATTGCTAATATGGACCCAGGCAACCCATGAAGTGGAATATACGTAAATTAATCGTCCATATTAGGTCTATAGGGATAGCAAGTGTATATCGTTTATCATCGATCTAGAAAAATATCTAAAGGATATATATGAATATCTATAATATTACAATATGGACTCAGGCAAACCGTGATGTGAAATATACGTAAATTAACCGTCTATATTAGGTCTATATCTTTTTCATGGAATGAATCGATTTGAGTTAAGCTTCGTTTTAAGTATGTATGAAAACGACAAGATATTAATTACTTTTATATAAACTAGGCTTTCTTCCTTAAACTCTCCATAATCACGTGTTAAAGTTTCAGATAATTCGGTGCACCTAGTTTAGAGAAAAAAGTTTAACAAATTTTTTTACTTTTTAGTACATGAATGCCTCCCCTGCAGATACGACATCACCTGTGCAAGATGGGAGGGCATTGAAATCTCCCAGTCTACGTTTAATTTACGGATATTCCAGGTTAAGCGGTGCCTGGGTAGGGATTAAAATAATTGTAAAGCGAAAATGTTTATTTATTCTCGTGAAATAACATAAACTATAGTTGGCATTCTTCGTCATCGGCGCACCTACCACCTTGGACCTTCCGTAGGTGATTGTTCCATCCCGATAACGAGATGGATGACGAGCCAATGATTAAATCGTGAGGTCGTTGAAAAAGAAGGGCCGCGCTTCTTGGAAATTCTTTAAAGTTTAAAGTTTAATCGTACCCCGCGGAAACTTATCTCTATTCCACCTTACGGGTAATGAAAACCTGCATTTCTTGTTTAGAAAAATTATCCGGGATTACTGCCTCTTGGCAACTATTGTTCCATCGGCAGAATTGCACCGAATGCACGTTTATGGTTGCACCTTTCACGATGCCGCTTCGCATTAAGTCATAATTATACCCCTTAAACGGTAAACATAATTATCAGAAGGTATGCATTCAAATCGAAAGGTGCAGTTAACCTCCACTCGTTTCCGCGTAGGAATCAAAATGGCCGGAGGGGGATTTAAGGTGATATGAAAGGCGCTGGGAAATTCAATCGAGGTCGATAAATTAAAATTCATCTGTACCCTTTTTGGTGGGAACGTCATTTTGAATATTCAAGTGGGAACATAAGCTGACGCGTCGCGTTACCGACATTTATATTTATGTTGAAGTCTTTTACAGTCTATGTAGAGAATTATACGAACTGAAGCGTTCCTTTTGTCATTTCAGGAAAGTATTGACGAAGAGATCGACGTAAGATTGCCGAAATCCCGGGAATTTATTATTCTAACGACTGTTAAGGACCAGCGGCGCCATCTGTGACGTTTAGCTGCAACTAAATTTTTGCTCTAAAAATCCGCGTCAGTCTTGAGACGAGAAAGCATTCTCTTGCAATCGTTGAGGAAAGTATTTTCCATATTACGGATATTTTTATTTTCTTAACTGTTACGCCGCAATCGTTTAATAGAATGTATTTGGTGCGAAACTCTGCCGTGTTTCTTGATTACTCTGCGTCCAGTTAAAGTGAATTCACGTTTGAAAAATATATTTGGCGCGAAACTCTGCCGACTTTCTTTACTACTTCTCGTCCAGTTAAAGTGAATTCACGTTGAAAAATGTATTTGGTGCGAAACTCTGTCGATCTTTTTTATTACTTCATGTCCAGTTAAAATGAATTCTCGTTGAAATATGTATTTGGCGCGAAACTCTGTCGATTTATTTTTTTACTCTGCGTCCAATTAAGGTGAATTCACATTGAAAAATGCGTTTGGCGCAAAACACTGCCGAGTTTCTTTATTACTTCTCGTCCAGTCAAATTGAATTCACGTTGAAAAATGCATTTGGCGCGAAACTCTGCCGACTTTTTTTACTACTTCTCGTCCAGTTAAAGTGAATTCACGTTGCAAAATGCATTTGGCGCAAAACTCTGTCGATTTTTTTTATTACTCTGCGTCCAATTAAGGTGAATTCCCGTTGACAAATGCATTTGGCGCGACACTCTGCCAACTTTTTTACTACTCCTCGTCCAGCCATAGAAAATTCACTTTGACCGACATCTTACGATCTAGAACGAAAGGTCTTGATAAGACCAAAGGGTGGCAAGTAGGAACTCTACGTTACCGACTTCGACTCGATCAGCTGACTGACGTCTTAACTGTTACGTCTCGCGATAGGCGTTACGTGGCATTCGTTTAACAGAATCCCTTGCTGGTTGGACCGAAGTCAGCATCCGATATTAATCTTCATTACTTCGTCTTAGTTATCATCACTTTTGACACACTCGTGTCTGTCGCCATCGTCAAGTTAAAGCGCATTGGCTCGAGATAAAAGGCGAAGAGGTCATCTCTTCTATCGTCTCTTCCTTCTTGCATTCTGCTGGCAACATTCCCGATAAATAGGCATTGCGTTTATTCTACATTACTCAACGTCAGAAAAGACGCCTTTCGAAACTTGGTAGAGTCTTGCGCCAAGTACATTTTGGATATTGTTAAATATACAGAAAATATAACACATATTTTGGGTGATTAGGGGTGGGGTTTGAGTGATAGGGTGTCATTTTAAATGTTTTTAAAACATTTATAATGTACTCGGCAGATAATATTTAACAAAATACTTATATTAAAATGGAACGAAATGTTTTCTATATTTGTTAGAAAAATATTACAAAAACACATGGAGCTAATATTATACAAATATTATAGACATAATAGTCTAAAGTAAACGTTTTGCAAATACTTCAAATGTCTGGTAAATATTTACAAAATGTACGATATTCGTTAAATATATAGAAAATATAGGAGAAATATTTTGTGCTACCAGGGAAGCTTCGTAATAAATGTCCGGTCCAATTCTCCTTGTGTTAGCCTTTCACAAAGGACTTTAGATTCGCCGAAAATATTTCGGATAAGTATCGAAATCGGCTTCACGTTGGAGCNTATAGAAAATATATAGAAAATATAGAAAACATAGAAAATATATATAAAATATAGGAGAAATATTTTGTGCTACTAGGGAAGTCATGAAGACATTCCTCAGGGTCTGCGTCTGTAATTTCACCGCAATTGCGTATACGCATTAAATGCAATCTTGCAGGTTTCGGGGATTAATTACTCGAGGTGAACAGGAATTCAAATGACTTAAACAAACCGGAGAGTTCAATGCCTCTCGTTAATTTACGAACCTGTGTTCGTCGCGCGAGAATCGGAGTGCAAGGTCATAAAGTTGTAAATAAGACGAAGAAGAAGAGGGAAAGGGTAATCCAAAAGAGGGGATAGAAGAGGAGGGGAGATGAGATTAAATTGCATCATTGCCCTGACACAAGCGTCATGGAATTCCGCTTTATCGGCAGAGTCCATTCGACTTTACTCCTATCGAGAGCGAATTTAGTCTTCTTCTGGTAGCACAAAATATTTCTCCTATATTTTATATATATTTAACGAATATCGTACATTTTGTAAATATTTACCAGACATTTGAAATATTTGCAAGACGTTTACTTTAGAATATTATTTCTATGATTTTTATATAATATTNTTTACTTTAGAATATTATCTCTATAATATTTGTATAATATTACCTCCATGTGTTTTCATAATATTTTTCTGTCAGATATACAAAACATTTCGTTTCAGTTTAATACAAGTATTTTTTAAATATTATCTGCCGAATACATTATAAACGTTTCAAAAATATTTAAAATCAAAATCACACGTTTTGCTTCCATAATGAAATGGCGGTAAGAAAATATTGCAAAAATTTATCTTCTATTTTTATACCAAATAAAGTAATAATAATCGAAAAGTAAGAAATGTATTATGTACTAGCAAAGATGACAAATAAATATTTATAAATTATTCCATGCTGCTAGGGTATTTTCATCCCAATGAGAAATATTTTCAAAAATCGTCATCCGAGTCGAAGAAATTATTTTTTTCGGGTATACATTTTCGAGCAACACTTTCGATAATTTTCCTCGAAGCTCGGAAGGGATAAACGAAACTAGCAAAGATGACAAATAAATATTTACAAATTATTCCATGCTACTAGAGTATTTTCACCCCAATGAGAAATATTTTCAAAAATCATCATCTTCGAGTCGAAGAAATTCTTTTTTTCCGCTACACATTTTCAAGCAACACTTTGGATAATTTTCCTCGAAGCTCGGAAGGGATAAACGAAACTAGCAAAGATGACAAATAAATATTTACAAATTATTCCATGCTACTAGAGTATTTTCACCCCAATGAGAAATATTTTCAAAA